CTCCTCTCAGCTCCACTTCAGCTCCACTCGCTGGAGTGCGGTGACACGCTCCCGTCACCACAGCCTCGACCTGCTGGGTTCCGGCGATCCTTCTGCCTCAGCCTTCCAAGTAGCTGGAATTACAGGCCTGCACCACCACGCCCGGCTAATTTTTGATTTATTGCCAGGCGGGTCTTGAACCCTCAGGCTCAGGCAATCCACTCGCCTCGGCCTCCCAAAGTGCTGGGGTGACAGGCTGAGTCACTGCACCCGGCCTCTTTTCTCACTTATTAAGTGAGAAACCCTCATTAGAGGGTTATGACTGCAGGGAAGGTGTTTGGAAAAGAGCCCGCCCCTTCGAAGGTGCCAGGGCAGGGCCGCCTCTGCTGTGATGTTGGTTTGGACACAGACTCAGTGAATTCACCCGGGGAATGCGTGCACCTTGGAGGCTCCCTGTGCACCCCGGGACCCGAGCCTGGCTCTGACTCTGGACTGTTGTAACCAGTCGGTAAACGTGTGTTGAGGCACAAACGTTTCCGGCTTGGCCAAACGGCGGCCGGCCTCCCCAGCCTATTCCACGGCCCATCTTCCTGGCAAAATCCGGTTTTAGCCAAGAGCCCTGCTCTGTTGGTCTATCAAGAAACCCCTCCCCAGCCCTCGACATCCAGCCTTCCACCAGTGCCCGGCGGTGTCTGGTCACCCTGGCCTGTCTCAGCAAGAACGCTGTTGGGTCAGCTTCACCAGAGTCTCCTTGACCCCCATGTCTGCTTGTAACTGAGCTGTCTGGAGTCACAGCTAAGTGTTGGCAGGGCCGGGACGGGGCCAGGCCGGTGACCGTCCAGGTGCCAACGTGCAGAGGTACGCGCACGTTGTCCAGGGGCTTCCAGGAGCCTGGGGCCAGCCCATGTGTGCAGACTGATTCCTGCCGCCCGGTCCCCTCGCCCACTGCGAGGCTGCCCGAGAGAGGGAGGCTGGGGAGGGCGGTCCCCAGGACGGGACCTTGGAGTCCAGCCCCTGGGAGCTGCCACTCGGACCCTCCAGCTGCCAGGACGTGGGTGGGGGGGCCCTACCTGGGCCACGATGGTGGAGGTGAAAGTGCTGCGGTCATAGACCCAGCCGTCCACGCACGGCTCCGTGGCGGCCTCGCTCCAGTTGGCGGCCGTGGCGTTGGGGTCCAGGAGCTGCCACTGTGGCTGGCGGAAGCGGCGACAGCGGTGGGGGCCCCCGTCGGGGCCTGGTGGGATGGAGACGGCCAGGAGGGCCTCGGGGGTCACATTTGCGGGGACCTCGGAGCCATTGTCCAGCACGTGGGTCCAGCATCGGTGGCCCGGGATGGCGGCTGAGAAGTTCTCCAGAAGCGTCTGGGAGGGGACCAGGACGGAGGGGAGGAAGAGGCTGAGGACCAGGAGGGTCTGGAAGAGGCCCATGCCCCCGGCTTGCTCCAGGACCTCTGTGAACGCCATGGCCGCGGCCACCTCTGGGGCCAGTGAACCGGAACCAATTGCAAACAAGCGAGATGCACGGGGGCTGCCGAGACCCTCTGTTCTTCTTCACCTGGCGGGGGGGGGATGGGCAGCTGTCCAGTAACCGGTTGGGTCAGTCCCTAGACGTCCCGGGAGGCCCCAGGGAGATTCCTCCTTATCCAGTTTCCAGGAGTGACCACTGGGCTGTCCCAAGGCTCTATGGAAGGGACATCGGCGGACAGAGCTCGCCAGGCCCGGCCAGCCCGGGACAGCCGAGCTGCCGGCCAAGTCTGGACCAGGGAGGGCTGAGCTGCCTTCTGGGCTCTCCTGCACCAAAAGTGAAAAGTCAAGGGGGTCTTGCATTAAAAAAAAAAGATACAAAGCTTTGATGTTACTGAATTACAGTCGTGGATGAGACATCAACCAGCTCTTGCCTGGCTGGGTTGGTTAACGTTTAATCTCCGCGTGGGCTTCTGGGTGGGAAAGACAGGCTGACCCTCAGGACTGAGGCCTCAGTCACCCAATCCTGCTGGCCGGCTGACCTCATTCTTAAATCTTTTTTTTTTTTTTTTTTTGAGTTGGAGTCTCCCTCTGTCTCCCAGGCTGGAGGGCGGTGGCACAGTCCCAGTCACCACAGCCTCGACCCGCTGGGCTCTGGCGATCCTTCCGCCTTGGACCTCCAAGTAGCTGGAACTACAGGTGTGCACCACCATGCCCGGCTAATGTTTTGATTTATTGTAGAGACAAGGTCTCGCCAAGTTGCCCAGGCGGGTCTTGAACCCGTGGGCTCAGGCAATCCAAGTTCTTAAATCTTAAACCTTTAGGACCTTCCACGTGGGGCCCTTCGCCTCGGGAAACCGTTGGCCTGAACTTGACTGGTCCTGAGACTCAGTTGGTTCGGCTGAGGCCAGCTGTGAGACCTGGGCGGGTGGTGGGCGTGGGT